CATGTGGTGCACCTACAGTAAAAGCAGCCACCTACCCACCACGATTATCATGGCCTGTACCACGTGTATTAGGGATAAGACAAAAACAATATAGTAGAATGGGTGAGCTGGAGATTAAATTGTTGAAACCACTGATGAGCCTCCACATTCAATCAATGCAATATAGGTATATGTGGAGACAGTTTTTAATCAGTAAAAAAAAGCAGTGTTTAAAATTTGTATCAATTGTCAAAGGCAAATATTTAAGACCTAAAAAAAGAGGATAAAGCACAATTTGGATTATAATATATATAGTCACGACCGTCTGTCGTGGCCTCTGTCACGGATAATATACAGTTATCATCGTCATGCGTTCTTAATTCTGTCACCGTTTGCTTTTGGTTCAGTGGTAGAATGCTCGCCTGCCACGCGGGCGCCCCGGGTTCGATTCCAGGCCGATGCATTTTTTTTTTTTTTTACAATTTTTAAAACTCATTTATATATTATACAAGAATGACATCCACGGCGCCAATTTATAATTGTAATGAATAGTATTTGAATAAAAGCATTTAATCGGGTAAACCCCGGGCGTTGCCCGGGTCATTCGGCTAGTAGATTATAAACACAAGGTAATAAGACCAAATAAATAAATAGTATGTGATGTTTCGGTAGCAGCATTGTTACCATCTTCAGACAAAAGTACTGAATGAGAAATTTCACCACAGCATGTTTTATTGATAACAGTAACTATTTAAAACATGTTGTGGTAAAATTTCTCATTCAGTACTTTTGTCTGAAGATGGTAACAATGCTGTTACCGAAACGTCACACACTATTTATTTATTTGGATTTGGTCTTATTACCTTGTGTTTAAAAGCTAAAAAATTCTCTCACAATGAGTTTCTTTGTATTTTAAATTGAATTTGAAAAAAATTGTTAAAATTGCATTTCAAAAAACAATTAAGTCAAATTTTCACAGAAAAACCATATACTGGAATGATAAAATTAATTGGAGGGATGACTCATCTATTGGTGAACCCTTCCAGTGATTTCACAAATTTATTCCCCAGACCACCACTCGGCTATTGTATTAAGATGTGATTTATTATTTAGTTTACATTTATAAACAATTTATGTGGGGGTCAGTGGAAGGATAGTCTAAACCATTGGTTTTCGACCGCTACGACCCGGGATTGAATCCTGCATTGAGCTTTTTTTTTTCTGATTTAAAAAAAATGCTCCAATGGTCCCCGTTTCTTGCAAAAGTCCAACTCCACCAATGAGTGCAAGTAACCCAACGGGGCTCTGGCACATTTGTAAGTGCAAATCGAACTGCTTTTCACAAGTGTAGATATGTGGTACACTTACAATAAAAGCAGTCACCTACTTCTACCCACCATGATTATCATGGCCTGTACCACGTGTACTAGGGATAACCACAAGGTAATAAGACCAAATCCAAATAAATAAATAGTGTGTGACGTTTCGGTAACAGCATTGTTACCATCTTCAGACAAAAGTACTATTCAGTACTTTTGTTTGAAGATGGTAACAACGCTGTTACCGAAACGTCACACACTATTTATTTATTTGGATTTGGTCTTATTACCTTGTGTTTATAATCTACAATCCAAATTGTGCCTCATCAATTTTAGGGATAACCAAAAAACATTTATAAAGGAATATATAGAGAGGATATCTGAGGAAACTATGGACAACAGCTTCTAAGGCTATTAACCTTTAGCATTATTGAGTGCTAAGATTATAATGGGGATACAGTAGAGAGTAATGAGAAACCATGATTAAATCTGGACACTCCTGGAGGTGGTCTTTTATCAGAACCATGTGAGTCTTGAGGATTCTTACAACTGAGTCTCTATTAGGAGGCCTCCTCCTCAAGAGACTGATTTAAGTCATGTTTTAGTCTATGGCCTCTCTTGGGGGACTCATGCTGAATTTGACATATTCTCTAACAGGCTTGTTTGTAATTTTGTGGATGATCATTGGTCTATATAATACAATAGTGTGAGTGGTTTGGAGATTAAACTGGCGAAACCACTGGGAGGATTCACCACTGATGAGCTAAGTCCTTCCCTCTCAATTTTTATCATTGCAATATATATGTGAAAACAGTTTTTACAGAGCAATAACACACCATCTATATATAACGAATGAAGACATTAAGATGCAAATGTTTCTTTTCACAAATAAATCAAAATTCTACTGTCCCCACTGTGATGAAAAAATATTGGATTATTATTTTTTAAAAATCTGTGTTGAAAATTTGTATCAATTTTCAAAGGCAACTATCTTTGGGCAATTTCTGGAGTTTGCAGTGACTTTGATTGCAGTGAAAGTCTTTCCTGCCGTGATCACATAACCTGTGGTGTTACAGAGCTGGAGGCTCGGCTACATTGTCCATCTTCCCGCCAGCTGCTGGAGGTGGTGCAGAGGTCGCACAGTGGCGTGGCGCAGTTGGCTCTACTCCACCAGGTAACCTTTATTATCCCTAGTACACGTGGTACAGGCCATCATGGTGGGTAGAAGTTGGCATATTATTGACTGTATTGACTCATCCATTGATGAGTTCTACTCTTCCCCGGCAGACACCATCAACAAGTTCTACAAGCTTGGTATCCTGATATGATTGTTGAGTGGAGATAAGAAAGAAGAAGAAGTTGGCAACTGCTTTTACTGTTACTGCACCACATATCTACATATGTGAAAAGCAGTTCGACTTTTGCATCTACAAATATGCCAAAGCCCCGTTTGGTTACTTACACTCACTGGTGGGGTTGGACTTTAGCAAGAATCAGGGGCTATTGGAGCATACAAGGTACTCTACAGCTGGTATCTCTAGCAGACTGGAGATGGAGGACTGATGAAAATTCCCAATAGTTTCATTTTACAAGAAATGACGCCACTTAGTGCTATTTATTTTCTTTTACAAATACAGTAGAACCTCCCTTTAGTGGACACCTCTCCACAAAGGACAGTTTTCATTCGCAAAATTACCCTTTTTGCAATTTAGCAACTCTCTGGTAAGAGGACTGTGTTAATTTGGGTTGAATTAAAAAGATAATCCTTTTTTATATCATTATTTTATTTAAGATCCAATTTAAAAACAGGAAAAGAACAAAAATATATTATAAACTTCTTGTTTACAAGTTACGAGTTAGAAGAACAAAATACAGAGTTGTCAAATCATTTTTGGTCATTTATATTTATATATTCACAATTTCCCCCAGTAAATGACTCAAAAATGATGATCGATTATCAAATTATATACATATTTCAAAACAGTTTCAATAGCCTCCGAAAGATGGCGGGACAAGTCCAGGGAATGTTACAGCTAATTAAATCACTGGTGGCAGCTGTGATTTGACAACTCTGTATTTTGTTCTTCTAACTCGTAACTTGTAAACAAGAAGTTTATAATATATTTTTGTTCTTTTCCTGTTTTTAAATTGGATCTTAAATAAAATAATGATATAAAAAAGGATTATCTTTTTAATTCAACCCAAATTAACACAAGGACACCTCTCCTTAAAGGGCACTTTGACTCTGAAAATAGGGGTCCTTTACAGGGAGGTTCTACTGTATATGCCAAGGTACAATTTGGATTATCCAAAAGCACAGGGCTCCTCTCCCATCAAATTAAACGTCAAAACTAGACACCATCTATTGACCGTCACTGCAAACTAGCGGCCTCAGTTCGGTCACAAAGCCACAACACCAGCTTTGGAAAACTGAGAAGCGTCCACCTAAAGACCATGGTTTTAGGCTAATGGCCCTCGTCAGCCTAGGGCAGACTTTATTCTGTGAGATTCACACGGGATCTAATGGAATCTTCACAATTCGTCAAAGAGGTGTTTAGCTGGTGAAGTGGCTAGGCCATATCTATGGCTAAAATATAGATGGGTTGGATATAGATTGGTTTATATATTAGAAACACAAGGTGATAAGGCAAATAAATAAACTGCTACACCAGTACTTTTGTCTAATCTTCTTCTTCTTCTTTCTTATCTCCACTCAATCATATTAGGGTGTCAAGCTTTAGACTTTTGAAAAAGAGATTTGACAACCATCATGATTGGGTGAAGTAGAATGCGTCTGCCTTTGTCATTAAGACTGGGAGCACTACTCAGTGGCAGGCCGATTTAGCTCCAAAAGAAATGGCCACCTCTGACATGAGGAACAGACACTATGTAAAGCTGCTCCTAACATGGAGTACAAACGCTGCTCATCCTGTATCCCTGGATCAGGAGTCCTTACAGGGTACTATCAGCCGGGCCAGCTGAACCCAGGTTTTTTAGTGAGCTTGTTACTGCTCCCCCTCCTCCTTTTTCATCCGGACTTGGGACTGACAAAGGCGGAGTTCTTTTGTCTAATGATGGTAACAACTCTGTTAATAAAACATCATACACTATTTATTTATTTGGTCTTTGTTACCTTGTGTTTCTTTTACAGCTATTCTTATACAGATACTGCCATTAAAATACATTGGGATGGCCTGGCTCACATCAGTGGGGAATCTTCTCAGTGGTTTTGCCAATTTAATCCACTGTGATGTATGCATCTACCTTGAGTGGGCTATTTTACTCTTATACCAGAGCTCTAGAAATTGATTCTTGGAACAATATTTGAAAAGTATCCCGCATGTATTTCTTTTGAATGAAAAATCAAAATTTATTTTAAGGAGAAATAAATACAAGGTAATAAGTCCAAATCCAAATAAATAAATAGTGTGTGACGTTTCGTTAACAGCGTTGTTACTGAAACATCACACACTATTTATTTATTTGGATTTGGTCTTATTACCTTGTTTTTATAATCTATAATCCAAATTGTGGCTTATCATTAAGAAGAAATAATGATTATTTCTAACCTTAGGGATGAAGTATGAAAAGATGAATTGTGAAGAGTAATGATAAACGGACACCATCAAGGGTCACAACTTGATACCCTAATATGATTTAGTGGAGATAAGAAAGAAGAAGATGATAAATGGGAAAATAAAGTGTCCAGGGTTGGGAATCTAATCCACAGTGTCCCACTTACCGGGCAGATGCCATGTCCACTAGGCTACCCTGGACATATTTTTCCGTTGGTTAAGTTATTTGATGGATCTATATGTGCATACTTGCTTTTCCTCCAATAATCCACAAAAGGCCACTCAGTCAGAATTTCAACATTAGCACACCATTACACAGACCATTGCATAGGCATTAAGACACCTTCTCTATGTACATATCTAGTTTCATTTTAGTGTATCAATTCTAATAGAATATAACCTCTAAATGGTGATAAGACCATATATAATAGACGGTATAATTATATGTATACTTATACCATGTTTTCTCCTGAATTCCCGAAAGCTAGAGATTAAAAGGTTTTTGAAAAGATTCTTTTTCCCTGGAGGCCTGGTGTTTTTACTCAATAATCCAAATTGTAGCTTATCGTTTTTTTTAATTATTATCTCTAGTACATGTGGTACAGGCCATGATAATCATGGTGGGTAGAAGTTGGCGACTGCTTTTACTGTAAGTGCACCACATGTCTACACATGTAAAAAGCAGTTCGACTTTGCACTTACAAATGTGCCAGAGTTCTGTTTGGCTACTTGCACTCGCTGGTGGGGTTGGACTTTTTAAAGAATCAGGAGCCATTGGAGCATTTTTTTTTTAATCGGTAAAAAGTGCCCAATGTGAGAATCAAACCTGGGTTGTAGCAGTCAAAAACCAATGTAGCCTATCATGAAGTAGCCATGTGCTTGTTGCATCAAACAAGAGCAGAGTTGTGTCCCAGCTGAAGACATCCGTGGCCAGCCTGACGGACCCCCCTGCTGTACTCCTGGAGTCCCTGGCAGTCCTAATCCTCCAGGTGGATGAGCAGTCCATCAATGCCAGGAACATCTTGGAGAAGTGAGTCTGGGTCACACCTCAGTCCATTAGGGAACACAGCTATTTGGTCCTGGGTACCTGAGTGTTATTTCCTGCTTTCTTATGTTTAAATAGCTCAGAAAATCAGCATTATATACAGTAGAACCTCCGTGTAAAAGACACCTAATTGTAAAGCCAAAATGTCCTTTAGGGAGAGGTGTCCTCTTACTGGAAAGTTGCTAAATAGTAAACGTGGTAATTTTTGTGTTGAAAAGTGTCCTTTATAGAAAGGTGTCCTCTAGCGAGAATAATCTCTCATGGAGTATGTTCTACTGTTTTTAGCAACCCTACTTTAAGAGGATACTTCTCCCTAAAGGATACTTTGGCTCTGTAACTAGGTGTTGTCCTTTACAGAAAGGTAGTTCTATTGTATTTAGTAACTCTCCAGTAAGAGGATACTTCTCCCTAAAGGATACTTTGGCTCTGTAACTAGGTGTTGTCCTTTACAGAGAGGTAGTTCTACTGTATTTAGTAATTCTCCAGTAAGAGGACATCTCTCCCTAAAGAACACTTTGGCTCTGTAACTAGGTGTTGTCCTTTACAGAAAGGTAGTTCTATTGTATTTAGTAACTCTCCAGTAAGAGGATACTTCTCCCTAAAGGATACTTTGGCTCTGTAACTAGGTGTTGTCCTTTACAGAGAGGTAGTTCTACTGTATTTAGTAATTCTCCAGTAAGAGGACATCTCTCCCTAAAGAACACTTTGGCTCTGTAACTAGGTGTTGTCCTTTACAGAAAGGTAGTTCTATTGTATTTAGTAACTCTCCAGTAAGAGGATACTTCTCCCTAAAGGATACTTTGGCTCTGTAACTAGGTGTTGTCCTTTACAGAGAGGTAGTTCTACTGTATTTAGTAATTCTCCAGTAAGAGGACATCTCTCCCTAAAGAACACTTTGGCTCTGTAACTAGGTGTTGTCCTTTACAGAAAGGTAGTTCTATTGTATTTAGTAACTCTCCAGTAAGAGGATACTTCTCCCTAAAGGATACTTTGGCTCTGTAACTAGGTGTTGTCCTTTACAGAGAGGTAGTTCTACTGTATTTAGTAATTCTCCAGTAAGAGGACATCTCTCCCTAAAGAACACTTTGGCTCTGTAACTAGGTGTTATCCTTTACAGAAAGGTAGTTCTATTGTATTTAGTAATTCTCCAGTAAGAGGACATCTCTCCCTAAAGAACACTTTGGCTCTGTAACTAGGTGTTGTCCTTTACAGAAAGGTAGTTCTATTGTATTTAGTATCTCTCCAGTAAGAGGATACTTCTCCCTAAAGGATACTTTGGCTCTGTAACTAGGTGTTGTCCTTTACAGAGAGGTAGTTCTACTGTATTTAGTAATTCTCCAGTAAGAGGACATCTCTCCCTAAAGAACACTTTGGCTCTGTAACTAGGTGTTGTCCTTTACAGAGAGGTAGTTCTACTGTATTTAGTAATTCTCCAGTAAGAGGACATCTCTCCCTAAAGAACACTTTGGCTCTGTAACTAGGTGTTGTCCTTTACAGAAAGGTAGTTCTATTGTATTTAGTAACTCTCCAGTAAGAGGATACTTCTCCCTAAAGGATACTTTGGCTCTGTAACTAGGTGTTGTCCTTTACAGAGAGGTAGTTCTACTGTATTTAGTAATTCTCCAGTAAGAGGATACTTCTCCCTAAAGGATACTTTGGCTCTGTAACTAGGTGTTGTCCTTTACAGAGAGGTAGTTCTACTGTATTTAGTAATTCTCCAGTAAGAGGACATCTCTCCCTAAAGAACACTTTGGCTCTGTAACTAGGTGTTGTCCTTTACAGAGAGGTAGTTCTATTGTATTTAGTAACTCTCCAGTAAGAGGATACTTCTCCCTAAAGGATACTTTGGCTCTGTAACTAGGTGTTGTCCTTTACAGAAAGGTAGTTCTATTGTATTTAGTAATTCTCCAGTAAGAAGACATCTCTCCCTAAAGAACACTTTGGCTCTGTAACTAGGTGTTGTCCTTTACAGAGAGGTAGTTCTATTGTATTTAGTAGCTCTCCAGTAAGAGGATACTTCTCCCTAAAGGATACTTTGGCTCTGTAACTAGGTGTTGTCCTTTACAGAGAGGTAGTTCTATTGTATTTAGTAATTCTCCAGTAAGAGGACATCTCTCCCTAAAGAACACTTTGGCTCTGTAACTAGGTGTTGTCCTTTACAGAGAGGTAGTTCTACTGTATTTAGTAATTCTCCAGTAAGAGGACATCTCTCCCTAAAGAACACTTTGGCTCTGTAACTAGGTGTTGTCCCTCACAGAGAGTTAGTTCTATTGTATTTAGTAATTCTCCAGTAAGAAGACACCTCTCCCTAAAGGATACTTTGGCTCTGTAACTAGTGTTATCCCTCACAGAGAGTTAGTTCTATTGTATTTAGTAATTCTCCAGTAAGAAGACACCTCTCCCTAAAGGACACTTTGGCTCTGTAACTAGGTGTTGTCCCTCACAGAGAGGTAGTTCTATTGTATTTAGTAATTCTCCAGTAAGAAGACACCTCTCCCTAAAGGACACTTTGGCTCTGTAACTAGGTGTTGTCCCTCACAGAGAGGTAGTTCTATTGTATTTAGTAATTCTCCAGTAAGAAGACACCTCTCCCTAAAGGACACTTTGGCTCTGTAACTAGGTGTTGTCCTTTACAGAGAGGTAGTTCTACTGTATTTAGCAACTCTCCAGTAAGAAGACACCTCTCCCTAAAGGACACTTTGGCTCTGTAACTAGGTGTTGTCCTTTACAGAGAGGTAGTTCTACTGTATTTAGCAACTCTCCAGTAAGAAGACACCTCTCCCTAAAGGACACTTTGGCTCTGTAACTAGGTGTTATCCTTTACAGAGAGGTAGTTCTACTGTATTTAGCAACTCTCCAGTAAGAAGACACCTCTCCCTAAAGGATACTTTGGCTCTGTAACTAGGTGTTATCCTTTACAGAGAGGTAGTTCTACTGTATTTAGCAACTCTCCAGTAAGAAGACACCTCTCCCTAAAGGACACTTTGGCTCTGTAACTAGGTGTTGTCCTTTACAGAGAGGTAGTTCTACTGTATTTAGCAACTCTCCAGTAAGAAGACACCTCTCCCTAAAGGACACTTTGGCTCTGTAACTAGGTGTTGTCCTTTACAGAGAGGTAGTTCTACTGTATTTAGCAACTCTCCAGTAAGAAGACACCTCTCCCTAAAGGACACTTTGGCTCTGTAACTAGGCGTTGTCCTTTACAGAGAGGTAGTTCTACTGTATTTAGCAACTCTCCAGTAAGAAGACACCTCTCCCTAAAGGACACTTTGGCTCTGTAACTAGATGTTGTCCTTTACAGAGAGGTAGTTCTACTGTATTTAGTAATTCTCCAATAAGAGGACACCTCTCCCTAAAGGACACTTTGGCTCTGTAACTAGATGTTGTCCTTTACAGAGAGGTAGTTCTACTGTATTTAGTAATTCTCCAATAAGAGGACACCTCTCCCTAAAGGACACTTTGGCTCTGTAACTAGATGTTGTCCTTTACAGAGAGGTAGTTCTACTGTATTTAGTAATTCTCCAATAAGAGGACACCTCTCCCTAAAGGACACTTTGGCTCTGTAACTAGGTGTTATCCCTCACAGAGAGTTAGTTCTACTGTATAACCAACTGAGGCAGGCCCCGCTGTAATTGATTGGTCCAATGCTGTGTGCAGGATCCTCACAGAGTCCGTCCCTCCCAGCCATCACAAGGATCTGGTGACTCTCCTCTCAGCCCAGTTCCAGCAGAGTCTCCAGGAGCATCCACCAACCTGCCTGGACCATGTACAGCTGCTGACCCGCCAGATGACCCCCTGCCTCACTGGCTTCCACCTCGGTACACCCTATCTTTTCCTTCAGCATTCAGGAAATTGATATTTGACAAAATACGCACAGCAAGGATTTGGAACTGTGAAAATGGTTCCTCCCAGATCTAGCTTCATTTTCTGGCAAAGTTTCATCTAGATAGGTCAAATTTAGAGACATTTATCTTAGTCATCCACTGTCTCTTTCTAGTGGCTCTCTCTGATATTCAAAAGGACGAAATTGTCCATAGAGAATTTTTTTCTATTGTATTTATGTATAGAACCTATTCCTTAAGTGTAATTAGGATTCACTCTTTGCCGTTCCCAAGCCCGGATAAAAGAGGAGGCAGGGAGCAGTAACAAGCTCTCTA